GTGTTCAAGACTTACAGTGGCCGTTTGTCTCTTCAGTTATTTTAAGGTAAACCTGTACACATTCTTATTATTTTTTATATTTGAGAAAGGATTTGGCTGAGGAAATTAAAGAATTCTTTAGATTTACAGTACATGTACAGGGGCGTAAATCCCGGGGGGGGGGGGGGGGGCTGCATCCCCCCCTGGTTTGAAGTAGGGGGGATGTCCTGTACAATCATCCCCCCCTGATATTACCAAAAAAGAGAGGAAAAAAAGAAAGAAGAAGAAGAACTATGTGATTGTTTCAATTGCAGCAAAATGCATGAGAAATGAGTTAATTTGTTTCTGTATAGCCTAAACGTATACAGTATGTCACGATAAGGAAATGTCAAGGCTTCCGCGCTTCGCGCGAGAGGGGGAAACTGAATTCAGATAAATAGGGCTTATTAAGAGTCGAAAACGGTGCAACGAATCGTCTTCTTTCTATAATAATTAAATCAAACGTCTAAGCTTTTCGCGCTTCGCGCGGGAAGGGGAAACTGAATTCAGACGAGAATTAAGAGTCGAGAACGGTACACTCAATCGTCTGCTTTCTCTAATAGTTTAAGGAAACGTCAAGGCTTCCGCGCTTCGCGCGAGAGAATGAAACTGAATGCAGATAAATAGGGGCTTATTAAGAGTCGAAAACGGTGCAACGAATCGTCTTCTTCCTATAATAATTAAATCAAACGTCTAAGCTTTTCACGCTTCGAAACTGAATTCAGACGAGAATTAAGAGTCGAAAACAGTACACTCAATCGTCTGCTTTCTCTAATAGTTTAAGGAAACGTCAAGGCTTCCGCGCTTCGCGCGAGAGGGGGAAACTGAATTCGGATAAATAGGGCGTATTAAGAGTCGAAAACGGTGCAACGAATCGTCTTCTTCCTATAATAATTAAATCAAACGTCTAAGCATTTCGCGCTTCGCGCGGGAAAGGGAAACTTAATTCAGACGTAAATTAAGAGTCGAGAACAGTACACCCAATCGTCTGCTTTCTCTAATAATTTAAGGAAACGTCAAGGCTTCCGTGCTTCGCGCGAGAGGGGGGAACTGAATTCAGATAAATATGGCATATTAAGAGTCGAAAACGGTGCAACGAATCGTCTTCTTTCTATAATAATTAAATCAAATGTCTAAGCTTTTCACGCTTCACGCGGGAAGGGGAAACTAAATTCAGACGAGAATTAAGAGTCGAGAACAGTACATCCAATCGTCTGCTTTCTCTAATAATTTAAGGAAACGTCAAGGCTTCCGCGCGGGAGGGGGGGAGGAACTGAATTAAGACAAGGATTTACAGTCGAGAACGGTACAGCAAATCGTCTCCTTTTTATAATAATTTAATGAAACGCCAAACTTTCGCGCTTCGCGCGGGAGGGGGGGGGGGTTCATTCGGACAAGGGTTAACAGTAGAGAACGGTACAATAAATCGTCTTCTTTTACTAATAATTTAAGGAAACGTCTAAGCTTCCGCGCTTCGCGCGAGAGGGGGAAACTGAAGTCGGATAAATAGGGCGTATTAAGAGTCGAAACGGTGCAACGAATTGTCTTCTGCCTATAATAATTAAATCAAACGTCTAAGCTTTTCGCGCTTTCGCGCGGGAAACGGAAACTTCATTCAGACGGAAATTAAGAGTCGAGAACAGTACACCCAATCGTCTGCTTTCTCTAATAATTTGAGGAAACGTCAAGGCTTCCGCGCTTCGCGCGAGAGGGGGGAACTGAATTCAGATAAATATGGCATATTAAGAGTCGAAAACGGTGCAACGAATCGTCTTCTTTCTATAATAATTAAATCAAACGTCTAAGCTTTTCACGCTTCGCGCGGGAAGGGGAAACTAAATTCAGACGAGAATTAAGAGTCGAGAACAGTACATCCAATCGTCTGCTTTCTCTAATAATTTTAGGAAACGTCAAGGCTTCCGCGCGGGAGGGGGGAGGAACTGAATTAAGACAAGGATTTTCAGTCGAGAACGGTACAGCAAATCGTCTCCTTTTTATAATAATTTAATGAAACGCCAAACTTTCGTGCTTCCCGCGGGAGGGGGGGGGGGGGGATTCATTCGGACAAGGGTTAACAGTAGAGAACGGTACAATAAATCGTCTTCTTTTACTAATAATTTAAGGAAACGTCTAAGCTTCCGCGCGGTAGGGCTATCACCCACACACCCCTAATGAGCGAGCGTGTGTGTGTGTGTGGTGGTGGTGTGTGTGTGTGTGTGTGTGTGTGTGTTGTGTTGTGTGTTTGTGCGTGCGCGATCGCGCGCGCTTGCGTACATTAACGTGGGCGTGTGCTCGTGCTAGTATGTGATGGCTATCGCCGATCATCCCCCCCCCCCATCAGGTAGAGGGTAGCGAGCGAAGCGTAAATTAGTGTGGGGGTTCAGGGGTTTTACGCATTTAATGACGGTCAGAAAAGCACAAATATTTTGATGCCGCATTTGTGTCACTGGCAGGCCACAATAGATTTTGTTGAATGACGTAAATCATGGTCTGAAGCAATATTTAATTCCAAAAAGAAAAAGAAAAATTAGTGCTTACTACCCCCCTCCCCTCCCCCCTCCCCTCCTCCTCCCCTCCCCAATCCCCTCCCCAATCCCCTCCCCTCCCCCATCCCCTCCCCTCTCCTCCCCCTCCCCCTCCCCTCCCCCCCCCCTCCTACCCTTTACTCCTATCGTTACAATACGTTCCAGGGTCCCTTTCCATTGAGAAACAGCATGTCATTAGTCCACTGCCTGCGTGCACTCATCGGGAATTTTTTTTTCCTTAAAAGACTGCTGGCCTTGCTCTGTGATAACTGTTTCATTCCATTGAAACTTGGTAGAACCAGGGAGTTCCACTGATCCTTACTCCCTGATAAAACTATAATCATCGGTGTTTCATTCATTGTTAGTGGATTAATGCCAATTTCTTTAGCTACGACTTGAAAGCGTAGGCAGCTAATCGTATGTATAAACTCCATATAATATTTATTTCTAAGAAAGTGTGAGGCCCCTCCAAATCATTATTTGTCGCTTAATCCCTTTTAATGACCTTGTTTTCTTTCTCGTTTGCAAGGGGATAACACGTTCAAGACATCATAAAGATCAGCGTTTTATGCGTATATATTATATACACTGGCCCTGCGGAACGTTTTAATATCAAAGTCGCCGCTAAAGTATTTACGATCAGGTAGCGAGCGAAGCGTAAATTAGTGTGGGGGTTCAGGGGGCAGAGCCCCCGGAAGCTCAGGGGTTTTACGCATTTAATGACGGTCAGAGAAGCACAAATATTTTGATGCCGCATTTGTGTCACTGGCAGGCCACAATATATTTTATTAAATGACGTAAATCATGGTCTGAAGCAATATTTAATTCCAAAAAGAAAAAGAAAATTAGTGCTGACTACCCCCCCCCCCTCCCCCTCCCTCCTCCTCCCCTCCCCAATCCCCTCCCCTCCCCAATCTCCTCCCCTCCCCCATCCCCTCGCCCTCCCCTCCCCCCCCTCCTATCCTATACTCCTATCGTTACAATACGTTCCAGGGTCCCTTTCCATTGAGAAACAGCATGGCATTAGTCCACTGCCTGCGTGCACTCATTGGGATTTTTTTTCCTTAATGGTAATACAAAGATTTGGTACAGGGTCATGAATTGGGTTCAAATGAACATATAGGAAGCATATGCGATCCTAAAATATTCAGTGATCGTTGTCGCGGTTGAAATCGAGTCTAAAGTTATGAAATTGTAAATAATAAAACTATATATGTTGTATAGCTGCCTCTCAAGGTCAAGATATTAATTAAGCTATAAAACAATGTTTCTTGGCTATAATCGACCGATTAGCTATTCCCGTTTGGAAATTATATATCACAACTACATTTTCTGAGATTTTCATGGTCGCAGCTACCATTGTACGGTCATAGGCGCTATTTGAAATTTTTCAAAATTTACCGGGAGCACCGGTAAATTTGTATATTCCATTTTTCTCGAAAGCAGAAGTGTTTTAGGGGCTACATTTCTAGTGCTTATAATACATCCACGGGGGCATCCAAATATATCAAAATTGTAAAGAATCACTCTCCACCCAATGTTCAAAATTTCCCAAAACTTTGTATTACCTTTAACGTGACGCAAGATGATTTTGTGATCTGATAAAGTACGGATTACGGGGACGATCTATTAATCGACCTCAAGCGATTCAAAACGCCCAGTCTCATTAATTGAAAGTGTGAGGCCCCTCCAAATCATTATTTGTCGCTTAATCCCTTTTAATGACCTTGTTTTCTTTCTCGTTTGCAAGGGGATAACACGTTCAAGACATCATTAAGATCAGCGTTTATGCGTATATATTATATACACAGGCCCTGCGGAACATTTATCAAAGTCGCCGCTAAAGTATTTACGATCAGGTAGCGAGCGAAGCGTAAATTAGTGTGGGGGTTCAGGGGGCAGAGCCCCGGAAGCTCAGGGGTTTTACGCATTTAATGACGGTCAGAGAAGCACAAATATTTTGATGCCGCATTTGTGTCACTGGCAGGCCACAATATATTTTGTTGAATGACGTAAATCATGGTCTGAAGCAATATTTTATTCAAAAAAGAAAAAGAAAAATTAGTACCCCCCTCCCCCTCCCCCTCCCCTTCCCTCCCCCCTCCCCTCCTCCTCCCCTCCCCAATCCCCTCCCCTCCCCAATCTCCTCCCCTTCCCCATCCCCTCCCCCTCCCCTCACCCCCCCTCCCCTCCCCCTCCCCCTCCCCTTCCTATCCTATGCTCCTATCCTTACAAATATTGGTATCTACTGTATCTAAAACACATTTTCAGTGCATTACTTTAACCCCTCAAGTGTGAATACATCACATCCCCAGTTATAATGTATCAACCCAAAATCCCCCGTGCTCAGTGGTACGTGTCAGCTAAGCTCAGCTTAAGCTATGTACGGTCACAAAGGTTCGTGTGAACGATTATTTCATACGAATCTCCCTGTTTTTCCACTGTCTTCCCGAATTTCCATTGTCTGAAAATCGTTCGTACAGCGTTCATATAGCACTTCGTAATGGCATTTGTGACCAAGGCTTTAGGTTGTCGTCATCATTGTTGCTGTTTCCCATACACATTGACTGACCATTGTTCTCTCTCTTTTCATTTCAATTTACAGGTAAGAAAAATAAATTTTATCATTATTATCATTGTTACTGTTGTAAGCTTATATGCTATTTATATGATTGTAATATTCTGGAGAAGATTGGAATGTGGTATCTTCTCATATTGATGAGTTTGTTGTATGACCCCTGTTACACATGCGTCGGCTATACCCTGTTACACATGATCTCGGGCCCGCAATTTTGCGTCTACACATAGGTCGGCCTCACGTCGCCTTTTCACGAGCTGATGTTGGGGCGGACTCCAGAAAGACAGAAAGAGAAAGTGATAGAATGATAAAAAACAAAGAATAACATAAGAGAAGGTAATAGAAGGAAGAAACAAAGGATAACATAAGGAAAGACAGAAAGACAAAGTGATAGAATGATAAAAACAAAGAATAACATGAGGAAAGACAGAAAAAGAGAGTGATAGAATGATAAAAACAAAGAATAACATAAGAGAAGGTAATAGAAGGAAGAAACAAAGAATAACATAAGGAAAGACAGAAAGACAAAGTGATAGAATGATAAAAAACAAGAGAAGGTGGCAAGTGCGCGCGATGTATTATGTTAATAATGATGACAGGTTACGTCACTTCCGCTTATAAGCCGGTGTGACCGCTAGAATGTAACCCGCACCGATCGTCCGACTATTAGAGATAGATCGAGAGCGGACGATCGGTGCGGATTTTATCCGCGCAGAATGTCCGTGTCGGACATTCCGTGCGCGCCTCAAACTTGTCTGACGGACAATCCGTGCGGGAGAGGTCTCGCACCAATAGTCCGCCTGCCGCACCGAATGTCCGTACTCTAGTCCACACCTATACATAGTCAATATAGTAGAGGCTGTTAGGGCTAAATAGGGGTTGTTTGGTGCAGATTCTTCTAAAAGCACCAAATTTGGGCCAGGGCCTTGTCCTATATACGGATCAGAGAAAAAATACTTTAAACATTTCGGGGGCTAATTCACCCCGAGCCCCCGTGTATTTTTCCTCCTGATACGGATAAGTGAGGGCCCTGATGGGTCTACTTCTAACTCGTGTTTTTAGCCCTTCTTTGTTTACTTTTTCCTTTCCTTTCTTTTTTCTTTCCTTTCCTTTCTTATTTTTTCAAAGGGGGGGGGGGGCGGGCGGTCCATCGCCCCCCGTATATCCACGCCTGAGTGACACCCACACAAACTAACCTTATTTATTTCCGAACAAAAAAATGAAGAAAGAGCCCCTCGACACCATAGGTGTTAGTATTTAGCCAGTTCCTACCCCCCCCCCCCCCCCACCAAAATAAACTTTAAAAGTGACCTTTTTTTCTAATTTGATACCAGTGATATACAGATTTTGCTGAAATGGCCTAATTTTCCTGGATTTTTCCTCGCTTTTTAGTAAATTATACTTTTTATGCGTTTGTTGGAGAATGACATATATCACAATTTACAGTCAGGCAAGAAATGTGCTTATTTACTATTTTAGAGGCCGACATGTCAGGTCCCGCGGAACGGCGGGCTTGGGGACTCAAGCCCCCCCCCCCCCATCCCACCCCCACACTTTTGAAAAACTATATTAAAGCTAATTAAATAGAAAGAAATAGAAAAGAAACTATGCTCATGTAACCGCAATTAAATGCCCATACCTCTGAGCTAGTTCCGGGGGCTCTGCCCCCTGGACCCCATCTTGGGCCCTAAGGCTGGCCCCTGAATGCTAATCTGACCTTAATTGTAATGCCTATAACCCCTGCGCTTCCGGGGGCTCCGCCCCTTGGACCATACGCCAATTAGTGACCTGCCAGTGTCATGAATGGTATTAAAATATGCTCATCTGACCGTAAGTACGAATCCACGTACAATCGATTACAACAGTAATTGTGGGGCCGATATCACGAGTATGCCTTCATAGAATAAAGGTTTTAAAGAAAATGTTCACTTCTACTTTCAAAAGGACTGGCCCATTTGCTTTAAAAAGTTGTAGAGAGTTATTATTATGTAATTTCTAGAAAAATGCCAACCACATGATTTACAATGAGTCTAAATACATTGATTTGCCGAGTTTCTTCCTTTTATCAAATATACACGTAAAACAATGGGGGGACAGACTGCGCGGATAGCAAACCGCACGGATCGTCCCTCGGACGATCCGTGCGAGTCACGGACGATATTATGTCCGACGGACAAACGAAACTGGTAGGACAAACGGCGCGGTCACACCGGCCTCAGTCCACTTTCAGTGTAGTAACTCCTTGGTCATAGCAGGGACTTGGGATATCCCAAGTCCCTGGTCATAGCCAGTGTTTTAATGTATAAACACACTCGTGTTGCAGTTTGGCTGCATGGTTGTAATCTATTATGTAAGAGTCATGAACTCTCAAGGCGTGTTGCCATGACCACTGGAACTTCTGTTTGCTTTAGGATTAACTAGGAGGCAGTAGTAAATGAAGGGTTAAGATATAGCACGCTTGAAGAAAGCAGGGAGGTGAAGAAAGTGTTATCAGTAACAGGAGACAGTGGTTAGTGACTGTGAGAGTGAAAGGGTTAAATTGGAAAGGACCAAGGGACCAGCTCAGAAATGGCAATGAGGTGTATACAGGGATTCTGTGGGATGTTAGTTATGGCTGAAATGTTGAATCTGCATAGAAGTTCCCATAGGATTGAGGGATCATCTCAACAGTTTAAACTCGAGACTGTAGGATCTCTTCTTAGTATTTTGGCCATGTTTCTTTATTACAGTTTAGATTATAGTTTAATGAGGAACAAACAGTTATATATGGATTATGAGTAGAGTTTAGAATTATTGAAGACTTCTGCTGAAGATAGATGATTTAAGCCTGTTAGTATACGTTATTTTAGTAGTTAGTTACATATACATGTATTTCTTCAGTTACAGAGTGTGTTAAAAGGACAAGTTAAAATGAGTTAGAATAATCATAAGTCGACTATGAGAGGATGAAGTCCATCCATAATTATGTAAATAGTAATTGTGACTTTTACTTGACGTATTGCCTTGAAACAAACTCTTAATAAATTGTTGCTGGTGCCCATACACATTGACAGACCATTGTTCTCTCTCTTTTCATTTCAATTTACAGTTTTAACGCCCTCCCATTGAGGGAGCGGTAACAAAAGTGTACAACAAATATACCGGGCTGCATATACTGTTTCGACGTACATCTTGATTATTTTCGAAACGGACGTCTTTAAGCTTTAGTGGACGATGTGGGATTTAAAACGATTCTTTTCGCTGTGGCGGATGGCGTTCGCGTTCCACGTCTGCTTTGCATTGTCCCGTGGTATACCGAAGTCCTTGCCGGTGATCATCGACGATATCGCAGAAGACCTTCAAACGACCACGGCTGTAGTCGGGATGATGTTTGCAACATTTTTAGTTTCTTATGGTATTTCAGGTATTTTATTTAGATAAATTACAGCATTATTTCATTTTATTTTATTACAGTTAAATACCCAAGTAAATTATTAATCAAATAATAGATTGGGGGCGGTGAATCTTGACTGTACTATAGTTGGCTGTAGACCAAACCTCAATAAACCAGAGTCTGTATCCACAGACTTGTCGGAGTGAATCTAGGTATAGATTCATTATTTTAGTATTGTCAGTGCCTGGGTTTTTGGAAGCATTGACAAAATTCATCGTGTCTTTCAACCAAAAAATTACTTTTTTTTTTACGAGGGCTCTTTTCAGATTTTCCCTTAAAAAAATAGCCCCCCTTAATTATTTTGCGGTGGCTATTTTGGAGCTCAGGGGGGGCTTTTTTTTTTTAAAGGTTGTATTTTTTTACAACACGGTTTTACCTAATTAAATTCCAAGCAAAGGCAAATATAGATACAATTGTAGCGTACATATGTCATGTAGAGTATTGCAGACATTCAGATACCCATGATTTATTCACCTTGTGTTAAACGTCTGGCTTTATGATTTACATATACATGTAACTAAAACTTGTCAAAAGGAGTGTTTTGTTTAACTGTTCGTTTTTCATATCCTAAGAAAATATTATCACTGACACGCAGGCTAGGAATTAATTTTTTTATGGGGGCTACTTTTCCCCATTGCCTAAAAAAAAACAAGGGGCTACTTTCTTAAAGCCATATTGTAAGCTGTAACAATAAGTTGTGTTTTTCCTTAGCCATCATACTACTAGCAACCAAATTGGTAGGTAATATGTTATTTAGTCTTTTTTTCTGTCCTAAATTTAATTGTTATCATGGACAATGCAATCCCATTAAAAAAAATGTAGACTAACTCCCTTTAAAATTGTGTTATTTATAACATTTATTTTATAACCATTAAATGTGAGTAAATATTTTTACTGTTGTCGCACATACCGATGTATTTGTTATGCCAAAACATGCAAAATCATGGCCTTATTTTTTTTTTATAGACTCTAATTCTAAAGGCCAAGCCAAAGCTAGTTTCATTTCGTAGACAGAAATTGATGTCATCACTCATGACAATGGGCCTGGCATCGATCGTATATAAATAATTTAATTTAATTAAACAGTTGTAAGAAAAATTCTGAGGAGTAGGAACATCCTTTAAATATTTATTTACGGTTTTTTTATAACAAAATTCGATTTCTGTCTACGAAACTTGCTTTATACCGATTTTACAGGAAAATATCCGGCATTGATTTTGCACGTTTCGTTATAACAAATATATCAGTATGTGGGACAACAGTAAAAATATACTCGCATTTAATGGTTTTAACTTATAAATAACACAATTTTAGACGGAATAACATTTTTTTTAATGGGATTGCATTGTCCATGATAACAATTAGGGCCAGAAAAAAGACTAAATAAACATATTACGTACCAATTTGGTCGCTAGCAGTTCAGCTCTCGTCACTCACAAATACTTATTTACTTCATACTAGGAGCGTGCGGGCGCGCGCTGGAGCTGAGCTAGTACGTTTCTGTGTATTGTGAACGTGTGCGAACTGCGTATGCATTCATGCTGTGCACGAAACTACATCGGGGCCGGTGGCCTGTCCGGCGTTATTTTTTTATGCGGCACAGATTGGGGCATGGTACGTGTTGAGCCTATGGGAAGTACGTTCTTTCCCTTCTGAATAATGTCTGCACGTACGTGAGACTAGGCATGTTCGCTAGCGCATTAGCGCTGCGAAGAAGTTTGAATATCCATCGCGAACTATGTGTTTAGATAACATTCCTCTTCGTTTAAGTTAATTAAGTTTTATTGACTAATTATTGTGATGTTCTCCTTGTTGACATGCTGCCTCCTCTTCAGATTTTCAATTGCATTTTAAAAATTGTTGATGTAATGATTTTCCATACGGTAGTGGATTACATGTAACACTATTAAAAACAGACCTCTACAACTAGTACGCACACGACCACTATTAGTCTGTAAATCAAGACCCCTTTTAAAAAAAAGCCCCAATCTGTGCCGCATAAAAAAATAACGCGTCCGGCCGGGAGCTTAGGCGCAGGCGGATACCGCTGTAGATCTAGCTACAATAGGCACGACCGCCGATCCGCTGCAACTCACAAAACTTTTAAAATGTTGATGGAAGTTTCTAGTTTTGGAGTTGGTAGTTGGAACGGAGATTTCACTCAGACACATCAATAAATTGATTTATTAATTCCTAGGGAATATCAATTTATGGCGGGGGCGATTTTTCAAGATATATTGATTTTTTTTCGCCCTCGTCTTGATTTTTACCGTGGCGATTTCAGAGGTTTAGGGGGCGAATCGCCCGTCGCCACCGTGTATTTTTTTCGTTGGTGTCTTTATTACTATCTTTACAAGCTGGGTTTCGTTCAACATCTTCAACCATTGATCATGTGTTTGTTTCGAAGACCATTGTCAATTTTTACCTACAGAAAAGGAAACGCTTATATAGATTATAAAAAAGCATTTGGGTTTTTGGAAGCATTGACAAAGTTTATCGTGTCTTTATTGTTATCTTTACAAGCTGGGTTTCGTTCAGCATATTCAACTATTGATCATGTGTTTGTTTTGAAGACCATTATCGATTTTTACCTACAGAAAAGGAAACGCTTATATAGATTATAAAAAAGCATTTGATTTAAAGCTTATCTGTACTAGTTTATAGGAGGGATTAGACTACCCTGCAAGGTCACTGGACAGGTGGTTATCTCATCAACTCAGCTCCCAATTAACATAAGTAAAAGAGGATCATGTATGGCTGGGGATCGATGGTCACCGATTAGGCATTGTTTTCTATATAGAGGGAGCAAGTAGCTACAAGTAGGACAGTGTGGCTTTAATTGATGTTTTTGTGGTTTAAATTGTTAAAAATAGGTGTGAATGGCAAAGTCCTAAATGTTGTTAAAAGCTTGTACAAATCCCAATAAACAAAATTACGTGAAAATCACGTCAATATCAAGGTATCGACTTGAGGAGAGTTACGTTCTTCAAACACCGGACATTTACGTAAATGTGTTAATACGTTTATTGCATTAGGTAACTTAAAACACACGTACACTAAATCACGCAATTGTCACTGCAATATCACCATTATAATAACGTGATTATCCCTACCTTGGAGACCATGGTTTGTAAACCTAATACTCCCGTGTTTGTTTGGTTATGAAATTACATCTTCATACACGAAATTATCGCGTCACAGAAACACGTGAAGCGTTAGTGATAGTTTTAGTCAAAATATCTGCGTGAAATTCACGTGAATATTACGAGGCTGACTTGAGATGAATTATGTTCTTCATTCACGTGAAATTTACGTCGAAGAGGAAGTATGTCACTGTAACCCACGTTCAACCCAATAATTACGCAAATGTGACACAATAAATGAACCAAAATAATGACGTTGTCATCCCGTTTCTGAACATCGTGTCTTGGATCTTCCATAATTACGTCCAGGCGCGCCGGAAGCAGTTTGGGATTAGAGGGGGTTGGGTGTGGGGGGGGGGGGGGGGGGGGGATGGGTGCAAACATCCCAGAAGAGAAAGCTAGTTGCAACTGGTCCAGTTGATGAACCATTTAATGCCAACTGGTAACCCTGGAAATTGAAATGGGCTAAATGATCCAGTTGATCCAGGCCAGTTATAATTCAACTGGTCTAGCTGAGCCATTAGAACCATCTGGTAAAACTTCCAACCAGTTGAACAGCAACAATACTTCAATACTGGTACGTCTGTATTTCCAATGTAAGGGCACTTACATAATTGAATTATTCGAAAAAATTTCGTATACTTGTACTTCATTGAAATTATTTTAGTTCACAGTTAATGTTTCCCTTATTCATGTTTAACTAAATGTAATTTATACGAAGTAGCGAAATGTCCTAATAACTGGTAATTTATATTTGTAGTATTTAACTAAATCATCAGTAATTAAGAAATATGCTGTAAATTCAGATAAATTGTTTAAAAAAACATAGATCTGCACGCACCCCATATTCAATATGCAAATGAATTGGTGTCAGCTGGGTCAACTCGAAATATGCCAACGCTCAGTCATCAACTGGTGCAACTGGAAATATGCACACTCCAGTTATCAACTGGTGCAATGAAAATATGCCAACAGTCAGTTATCAACTGGTGAACATAGAAATATGCCAACAGTCACGGGATTATCACCACGGAACTTAAATGGTAACTGTGAAACCATCAAGACACCGAAGAATAACTCATTTTCACACATGGAAAACACGGAATACCCAGCTTATTAATAATCCGTTTGAGTCACGCGATCATCACCGCGAAACTGCTGGCAACTTTGACTACGATTTAAATAGGTGTTTTAAGACACCTAAACATGACTAATTTTTCACACCTAAAAGTCACGTATGCCCAGCTTAGATTAATAATCCGTTTGAGTCACGAGATCATCACCGCGGAACTTATGGCAACTTTGACTTCCATTTAAATAGGTGTTTTAAGACACCTAATAATGACTAATTTTTCACACCTAAAAGTCACGTATGCCCTGCTTAGATTAATATTCCGTTTGAGTCACGAGATCATCACCGCGGAACTGCTGGCAACTTTGACTACCATTTAAATAGGTGTTTTAAGACACCTAATAATTACTAATTTTTCACACCTAAATATCACGGATTCACAGCTTAGATTAGTAATCAGTTTTAACTACGTGATCATCACCAAGAAAGTTATGGTAACTTTGACTACCATTTAAAAAGGTGTTTTAAAACACTTAATAATTACTAATTTTCACACCTACATATCACGTTTTCACAGCTTAGATTAGTAATCAGCTTGAGCCACGTGATCATAACCAAGAAATTTATGGTAACTTTGAAACCTTTTAAAAAGGTGTCAGACACCTCAGAATTACTAGTTGAATATAACCAGAAATTCACGGACAGAACAATAAGACGATTAGCCGGTGTAAGTAACGTGATTATTACCATCAGCC